TTTCAGTGTATCATCACAATTATAAATAATACCTGTATTAATATTTTAAAATTATATTATTTCATAAATAATTATCAACAGATTAACATTAACTTCCTTTATCTGAATACATTTCAGTGATCTGTTTTTTATAATCAAAATCTAGGAAATTTTATTACGAATACATTTCATTCTATCTTATGTTCTTAGCCTCACCACATTCTATAACAGAAATAGCTTTAAGCTGGCAATATGCCAAATGTTTTAACAGACAATTAGCAGAACAAAATGCCACTTACTGGCTGTTACTTATTATTCACAGAATACCTAAAAGAAACATTGTAACAATTTCATTTTCTGCACTTGGTAATACATTTTAATGGACTCACACCACTCTAAGACCAGAGTACAGCAGCACCTCTGCTCAGCATTATAATAGAAAATTATTTTAGAATTACCTTTTAATACTGAAACATAGTATCAGAAAACACCCATATAAATCAAGAGAAATTCATATAAATACATCCTTAATAAGTAAAATGAACCATAGAGCTGATGTTTTTTAAGAGGTTGTACTTATAAAGATAAAATTATTATTTTCTCAATTTTCTAGCTCTAAACCAAATGTGTTTGGTTATTCATTGACTGGCTTTAAAAAACAATTCAACAATACAGAATCTCCCTTCCAAAAAATGCCCAAATGACATAAAAATAAATAAGTTTAAAAAAGCTAAAGTGAGCAATTTTTAAATGTAAAAAAAAAAAGATTTAAATTAGTTTCAAACTCAACATTATCTTTTTATGGGCATGATTTTCACTCACTTAAAGCTTATATTTTTATGAATCAGCTAAGAAATTGATACAACCGTTTTACTTTCAAAGGCTAATAACAGCACTCTAGTCAAGAAAGATACGAAGCTTAGTTACCTTGGTTTGGTTGCATATTCATATTTGGTCTGGGGCCATAGTTTCCCATTGGTTGCCCCTGACTCATTGTCATTTGATTCTGTACTGGCATGCTCTGTGATGATGGAACGGAATGGTTGTAACCTCCCATGGATCCATGGCTACTTGAAGGCATATTCATGGAATTGTTTGTCATATTGAGTTGATTGGGTCCAGGTCCCTGCATAGGGATATGGTTAGGCCCTTTGAAGAAAAATGATCAGAACCAAAATAAGAATGTTAAACAGATGGTCCATACAAAAGTACTTTAAAACGCTTTTTATTTTTTTTGCATTATTATAATACTAAACAATAACTTGAGTTTTTTAATCAACAGCAAACAAATGACAGCAAATACTGTGAGACCAATGTTGTTATTGCCATTTTACAGATTAAGAAACTGATGATTTTGAAAAGCCAGAAACATTCTGAAAAAGAATAATAATGAAGGAGGACTAGCTTTATAAGACAGCAAAACATTATCATAAAGTTGGAGTAATTATTATAAAAGTATAAATACTAGAACATAAATGAGTAGACAGAATAGTGTCTAAAAATAGACCCAAACACACAGTTTAGTAAATGATAATAATGGTGATTACTAAGTATCAGTGGGCAATAGAAAACTAATTCAGTAAACGGTGTTGTGACAACTGGGTAGCCATCTGGAAAAATAACAAGTTGGATTGCTATCTCATTCCTTCCACTAACTAATTCCATATTGATAAAAAATTTAAACTTGAAAAAAGAAAACAAGGAACCATAAAAGAATTTCAAAAAGAAGAATTTTAAAAATAATCTTGGAATAGTAAAGCCTTTGTAAGTATGCCAGAAAACCCAGAGCCATAAAAGATTAATTA